ATATATGCATGCACCCATACGGCTGGAACACAGACGTATAGGTGCAAGTTAAGTGCAAATGATAACCTCTGCACTACTGTTCTTCAGACTTGAAGTTAAGCCATTGACTGTGTCAGTAGTGAGTGGGGCTCACCTTGGTAATTGTTGCCTCATCCACAGCATCAGCCCCAATTTCTTTATTAACATACAGCAGAGCAAACAAATATCCAGTCCGACCAAACAGCAGTTCATCAGGCATCTCGTTGTCTGGACTGACGACTGAGCGTTGCAGCTGGAGAAGCCTGGAGGAGATCCAAATGTTTTGATCAGGGCTAAGCTTTTAATGTGGGACAAAACTGTATAAAAACAAAATGCCTTCATTTAGTATTAAGCATAGAACACTATGACAAAATATTCACTATTTTTACATTTGAACAAGGGCTGCGTGAAATCAGAACCAGCGTTTGCCATTTTGGTGCCCAAAGCAAGATTATGAGCAGCTATTCCACCTGTCATATATAAAAGTTGAAGAAATACTAATGACTGAATTTTGCAACAAATCTATTTTATCACACAAATTTTACCATAATATTAGAAATATAAGGTATTTTTAATAATAGTTTTCTAAAATTATGATGAAATATGTAGCAAAACTGTTTTATGTTGCCCTGTCATGCACTGGTGACCTGTTCAGGTGACCCTGCCTCTCACCTGTTGACCTCTGGAGATGGGCACCAGCACCCCTGGAGGCCCCACTAGGGATAAGTGTGTATGATAATATTTGTCCTATCTGTTTAACATAACATGACAAGCAGACAATCATAATATTTTCCTTCCATCCATCCATCCATTTTCTTCCGCTTCATCCGGGATCGGGTCGCGGGGGCAGCAGCTTAGTATTTTGTGAAACATATTTAAGATAACAAATGAGGAGTGCAGGGGTAAAAGCACAACCCATATGTGCAAGCCTTAGTCCTCAACGCAGCTGTCACGGGTTCAGTTCCCGGCCTGATGACCCTTACTGCATGTCTTCCCCCTCTCTCATTATCTACTGTCCTGTCTGATCACTCTCAAATCAAGGCCAGTAGAGCCACTCCAAAAATATATGCAAAGATTTTAATGCAGGCAAATAATGAGGAGAAAATTAAATTCCTTCTGTTGTGGATAAATTATGCAGCTCATTAAAGTCACCACATAGTTAACTGTCACATAGATAGTTTAACGGACTATCAGGTGTTCTCCCACCTGATAGTCCAGTAGACTGAGTTTGATTGAGGACCAAAATCACAACACTTGCTACATTTACAGCTGCTGTGGTTCTTTTACACTGCACTGTGTCAAACCAACCGAACCCTATGCCCCAAGCAACCTGTTCCCCCCCTCGCCAGTGGTGGCGCTGCACCAAGAAACACTGAAGGAAATGACACAAAACCCTCTGAAGAAGACATTGAGAACAACTTATTTCTTTACTAAATGTAAACGAAAATGGAGTAGCGTCAGATTTTAGTTTCTGTAAAATTTCTATGATGTCTTTGGCAAAACACCATGAGCCATTTCTCCCTTTAGCGCACATGTGTCAAAGTCAAGGCCCATGGGCCAAATCCATCACACTACAGCTTTTTATGTGGTCCTCTAGATTTTAGAATAAACACTAAGTGTACTAAAATATTATGCTATCAATCAAATCAATGCAGTTTTTATCTGTTACTACCAAATTATATCAATCAGTCCGTATCAATCAGTTTTTTGAGAATTAGCGTGGAAATTCATGCAAAATCAATAAATCCCCACACTTTTTAGTGCTAAACACATAATTGGGGGTTTACTGCAGATTTTTCTCAAAAATTGTCAAAAACTTTCTGGTTTGTACTAAACAGCTGTCTCAGCCTTAATTGATGTCAGATTATAGTCCATGATCTATATAGCTCATTTATGACGACTTATTTACCGTCATAAATAAGTGCAAATATTTCCAAAGTAGTACCACAAACACTAATGCAAAAAGAGCACAAAAAGTATCACAAAAGCCTGCAGGGCCTGAAAAGATGTTCAGTAATATTATTTAATTTTAAGAATTCATTTATATTTTAACAGTTTGTGAACAAGTTTTATCAATAGATTCTTTCACAACTGGGCCTTTAAAAGCATTCATGATCTTGATTTGGCCCAAAACAAAAATTTGTTTTGTAGCGGCTAAAATCCTATATTTTAGGCTACTGGTGGTTGTTCTTGAAAGGTGTTGGTTTTACATGCGCTCAATTAAGATTCATGATGCCAATCTTCCGTTTGACATAAAATAGTCATTTATTTTCAGAACAATGTACATTGTCTTGCTGTTTCCATTTAGATCCACATAAATTCGACATACATCTAGCGCTAGAGTTTGTGTGTTTGTATGCTTATATTTACCCAGAATGCCCAGCGCTTCCTGCTTTTGGAACAGCAAACCGACAGGAGTTTAAGTAAAGTGGACTAAACAGGGCTGGTGTGAATGCAGCTATACTCTACTACTCACCTGGACACACAGTCTTTACTCTCTGTATTGTTGTTTAGTTTGTGGTATACCACAGCACCAACAGCCAGAGGTCCTGCATCGCCACACAGAAAAGTCACTTTGCGGCCATTCAAAATCCTCATGGCCCTCTTCACGTAGTCCAATGCCCTCTGCAGGTGGGAAGCCTCACTGGAGACACGGTGCAGCTGAAGGTACAATAAGGCAATGCCTGCAGTGACAGGAGAACATTTTCTATAGTTGACACACTGCAAAGTGTTATAATCATGCAGAGCAAGTCAGAGCTGCTCTTCATGCAGTTCTGACCTGCATGGGTTGTGGAGCTCATACAACTTCTTGCACAGAAAGTTATTTGTTGGAGTAACATTGCTTATGAATTCAAGTATATGGCCTAGGATAAGCAGAAAAGCTTGAAACACCATTTTTTTAATGAAGGGACCTTAAGAACTAATATAAAAAATAAAAAGTTTTATTTAACAAGCTAAACAAATCTCAGAGGCGTTAGTGAAGCAATCTGCAGCATCTCCTGCAGGTCAGCTACTATCAAACATGCAGATAAAATAAGTTTAACAAAGATGCAGTGGCTCACTTCACTTTATTATAAGCATGAAGAAATAAGTTCTAAAAATAAGACAGGTTGCTTAATGGAGCCTTTCATTTTGCAAGAAAGACTATATTAAGCCCTGAATAAAAAACACTGAGCTTCAGAATGATTACTGTCCAACAGATATTTGTTCACATTTCTGTGGTGATAAAGTAATGTTTCATTTTGTTTTAGGAAGCATACACAGACTGCACTTTGAACTTTTTTTTAAACTCAAATTTAACATGTTTGTTGTTACTAAAAAATCTCTGAAAGTGACATTCAGCTGCTGCCAAACTGTTTCTTCTACTATTATGTTTTTGTGTAAATAGTCTTTCACAAGTCATTAAAAGTCTTATTACTCATTAGCTGAGTTGGAGAAGCTTTTCTCCTGTTGAGTTGTGTCTCAAACCTTGACTTTTTTCCTGGAGATCTAAAGTTAGTCTGACCTTTAGATAACGACATAGCCTTTCCACCAAAAATGTACTAAATATAAAGCTATGTCATTTGATTTCCTTATTGTGATTTTGTGCCAAGAAAGAATGTTAGTGAGGGAGCTTAGTAGTCTTCTCAGCTCCACAAGTCCACTACCTCAAGGTCAGTTGTGCTCTTCAGCAGGAAGAAGCTTAGTGCATTATCAATAAAATTCATTATTATTATTGTTATTATTATTATTATTATTATTATTATTATTATTCAGCATTTCTCAATAATAAATGTAATGTTGCAGTGGGCGTGGAGGTTAGCTGGCAGGGATTATTCCTGGTTAGGATATATTGTTCTATATTGTTATCCATCTCCACAGCTCCTCTTTGGCTGCTGGCAGAAAGAAGCCCATCTAGCACAGACCTGTCCAGCCGGTGTAAGTGCTGAAGTCATGGGGGTCGGCAGTCTTCAGGCCTTCTTCCATCTGCTGGAGGAGATCTTTGATCTTACTCTGGACCTTCCTTAGAAATGCTGCATTAACCTAAGCAGAAGAAAAGAAATACTGCAAACTGTCAAGTACAGGGATTGTACAATACAGTTATGACTAGGCCTGTCGCAATAAAAGATAAATCAATTAATGCACAATAAATTAAACCTATCGACCTCATTTTAATTATCGGTTTTATCGTCTCTTCCAGCCTTTTTTTTTTCTTTCTGTTGATGACACTGAATTAAAAAAGGCTCAGCTCCGGTGCTCTTCCCTGACCCTACCTTCCTTATTTCCTTAGTGTAATGTCCAGCGCACACTACTTGAGTTCTCGGCCCATTTTCAAAACCTGAGAGACACATTAGCCGACAGAAATCGGCTAATAACGGTTCAGTCGGGTTCGATCGTGCCGTGTGGTGTCCAGCCACATGGGCACAAAATAATGGCTACAAGTCCAGTTAACTAATCTTAATATCAGGCATTAATCAATGCTTTACTAGAATCTACCTGCAATGCATGTGGCTAGAGTCAGCGTAAAGTCCTGACTGAATGAAAATCATTATAACCTATTTATGTCAGGTAACGAAGAACAGCTGAAAAGTTACCGGGTTTATCAACTGCGGTAGCAATTTGGCTCCAACTCTTCTCCTGGTCATTTCTATATTCTTTGCACGAAATGTTAAATAAATATTAATGTTGTTTCCACATATCATCTCCGAGGTCCGCTGGACTTCGGGTTGCGCCGTGTCAGCTGTTTGGGATTCTCCTCTGTTATTTCACCTTAGAAAGCACGGAGGAGAATTCGCGCTTTCTGATTGGCTACCTGTCACATTCAGCATTAAGCTCCCAGTCGGGGTTAGGACCCAGCGTTCTGATGCTAAAAACTAGCATTAATGCTAAAGAAAGTTTCAATGTAGTCAATAACCTGTGGAGAGTCAGAAGCATGTGGACTAAGCTGTACTTGTACCATTCAGTGTGTTGCATACGGTAAAATGAGCCAAAAATGCTAATAATAGCATGAATGGTATCAGTAGAATGTGGGGTATCACTACCATGTTGTCTGTCATTCACTTACTCCATTCAGTTTACGAAACATGGCTAATAAGTAAAAAAATTGGCTAAACGCCCTTTTTTTTGCATTAGCATTTTAGGTGAAATACTAATGTTTATTAGTATGCACACCAATACTAATGCACACCTTGTGCACACCAATGCCATAACTTGAAAGAAAATGCTAAAAAAAAAAAAGGCTCATATTATTGCACTGCGTAAGGTGGAGCACTAACTCGAGGAAAAAGGATCATTAAAGCTAATATAATTGCACCGCCTGCGGCGGTGCACTTTCCGGAGGGGATTAGTGAAGCTTTTATTTTGAAATTTTCAGTAAGCTTCATTTGAAATGGCCACACTAATTCCATGTGTAATAGTGATTGAGTTAAATCAGTTTTGTAATGCTCAAAGCACAAGTAGTTCAGAATACCAGCTAAGTCCTCCTCTATAGTAACAGACAGTTCCGCCATGTTGTAGTTCTGACATGCTGCTCAGGCCTCTGTTTTAAATGAGTCTTGGTCATAGATAGAACTACAGTTATGGCAGTTATGGCTGCTGGTTTGTAGTCCAAACCAGCACATCTGCCTTTCTCTGGATTCTGTTGCTATAGCGATTGGCCCTCAGCCAACTGCTGTGTGTGTGAGACAGAAAGCTGGGGAAGGATTTCTATCTTTGAGACACCCATGAAATGCTAATGTTAATGAACTGCCTTGCTGCGCAAGGCAGTTCACTATCCTGAGAAAACAAACATAAAAAAAGATTTATATCCTTGCACCGCCTATGGCGGTGCACTTTCGTGAGTGGACATTGCAGAGTTTTATTTTGAAACTTTCAGTAAACTTCATTTTCATAACCAAACTAATCCAATGTGTAACAGTGGTTTGGTTAATCCACCTGTATAAAGCCCAAAACAGGAAGTAGTTCTAACTGCCAGCTGAGGCCTCTCCTCTGTAATAATTGAGTGTTCCGCCATGTTGTAGTTCTGACCTTCTGCTCTGCCCTCTGTATTAAAGTGTTCCGCCATATTTAGAACTACAGAGTCTTTGTAGTCCAAACCCCAGCAGTTCTCCCTATCTCTGTATTCTGTTGCTATAGTGATGAAACTGCCCTGAGTGTGTGTCAGACTTATCTAACTTTATGAGACACCCAGTCAGATTTAATGGAAATAGCAGTCCGAACGACTGCTTCCCGTTTGGGTTCCGTAAGTCCGATCCAAAAACCGTTTGAAGCATATG